ATATTTTGGCTAGACGCGATCTGGAGTTTATGCAACTCATTTATGTTTTCTTGAAGAATATTAACCATAGATTGTAAGTTTGATTAACGTTGTGTTTAGTTTGTATTTTGTATGTCTGTGTGTGTTTTTTTTTGTGTAGATTTGTTTCTGTAATAATTGTATAATTACAGAGTTGATATAACGTCGATAGGATTAAGTATATGTTTTAGAAATAGTGAAATTTTTGAATAATAAATCATATTCCAAATCTCCTTTTCCCTCTCCCGATCCAAACAATTGTCATCCAATAACCTCGAGAAGACCGCGAGTAATCGGTTCAAATCCTTTAATTTTAGATCTAAGACATTTATAATGTATAAAGAAAATGATAACTTGGCTCTGTAAAGTTTATTCGATTGAGCCTGTACAAATAAAGTAATTAACAAAAAAAAAAAAAAAAGGTTTTATTGTCCGCTGTCTGGCTGTGACTTTTTTAATTAAATAGTATTGAATCCGAGCAATCTTTGGGCCGTATGAATAAAAAGAGTTTACTTTACTTTCCCGTGCTTTTCTTATGGGAAAAGTAAAGTAAACGCTTTTATTCATACGACCTTTTATTTAATCATTGGCATAAATAAGAAAACTCCATTCGTCCCCATCATATTAAAATTCAATAAATGATTACTTTTTACACATTTTGCAGTAAAAACCGTACTTGAAAAATGTGTAAAAAATACTCTTCTATTGACGTTTGATAGGTTTACACATAAATGTGTAAACGCAGTTTACACATTTTATGAGTAGACCCCTTTTTTCACGAAATGTGTGAATTTTTACACATTAATGTGTTTACGCTGGTTACCGTGTAGCTAAACGAGAAATACAGCGGGAGTTTGTTGTGTACACGGTAAGAAAAAAGTACCCAAAGGCCAGTTCACTTTTACCTACTTTTGACTAGTTTGTCTCCTTTTCTCCTACTTTTTCTAACCGTGTGGCTGCGTCAAGCGCGTATGCCGACCCTGAGGCAGTGTAGAGGGACAGGAAGAACCTCATATGTCACAACAGAAATTGAAGAAATTCGGAAAGTAACTTTGATAACCACTGCACTCACTGCACCTGACGATCAGTTCGCAAATCAGCTGTTCGTTCGTTTATCTATCTAAACAAACCTTCGCCGTGTAGTAGCGTACTGCTTGAAGTATGTCAAGGCACTACAAGCCGCAGTGCGTTAGTCCGATAAACCATCCGAAATCATCATCCCGACAGCTGAGCTTGCAGCCGCCGATCGCACGTTAGATCGACTTGCTCAGTCATAGCTTTACTTACCAGTTCCACAAGTAACAACGTCTTGAACCATTCAAATGGTTCAAGCTGCATATTGACGACAATGGAATCATCCGTGGTGGAGGAATCATCCGTGGTCTATCAAATGCTGAAGTTCCAGATAACGTCAAGTACCCAATGGTACCCCCACTTTGCTAATACCAAATTCAATGCGGTTTCACAAGAATGACCTTCCTGGTGTCTCCCGAGTGTTCTGGTATCAACATACTATTACTATTTAAATACTCCAGCAGCTGGCCTTTCACAACAAATTCTAAAACTTTCTCTCATATGTGCAACATGTTGATGGGACGAAACTCGTCGTCTTTAATCGTTCTAGCATCTTTTTGAATAGGAACCACTAAGGATTCCTTCCAAATTTATGACGCATGCCCAGCCTGCAGTGATTCATTAATAAGGTCCAGCAAGCTGTGGCCAATGCACAGTGGTCCAGAATGCAGATTTAGGTGGAATGATAAACTTTAGACTAAAAGTCTCGTCTACAAAGTTGTTCCTTATAGTTAGGCCCTCGTTATTATGACAATGAATTCTAGGGTGGTTCTAATTAACATTAAAATAAAAAATCTAACTTTTTTGTTTGAATAAATTAAGGTATACATTCTTGGACAAAGTTGTAGCTGAGCTAATTTCAAGCAAATGTGTATCTCTTAAATTGATCGATTTAGAGCTATTTTTTTGAACTGAGTTTTTTTTTTTTTTTGGGAGTTGAACCACTGCGTTCATTATTTGAACTTTTGTGGTATGAATGTATGAATTGATTTAGGGTGTCTCTAAAAAAACAGTTGTTTTGCTCTAGTTTTCTTATTTCAAATTTCTTAGCAAAGGTATCTTCAAATAACTTTTAGATCTTTAGAAGGCGCATATTTTTGCTGCACTAAGCTTGCCAATAAATTTCGCTGATCAAGAGTTATTGACGTTTTTTTCTAGTAAAAATATGTCATTTTTTCAAAAGTTAATATATCTGGTTGGGATCAAAAAAAATTTGTTTTACGGCATTTGAAAGGATGGATGTTATTTTCAATAATAAAAGAAATATTAGTGGTACGTTATTTTTAAACTCGAATAAAATCAATTTGTATGTATGTATGCATATTTTTTACTATATATGGGTATATCTTTTTTATTAGAAGAGATGCAGACAACAAATTTCGCTATAAAAAAATCGTCTTAAAGAGTTTGATGATGACTTTCATGAGAAATTTATAATAATTTTTTTTATACAAAGTTGCTTGAAATTAGCTCAGCTATAACTTTGTCGAAGAATGTATACCTTTATTTATTCAAACAAAAAAGTTAGATTTTTAATTTTAATGATAATAAGAACCACCCTAGAATTCATTGTCATACAAATGAGGGCCTAACTATAAGGAACAACTTTGTAGACGAGACTTTTAGTCTAAAGTTTCAATTTCAGGCTCAAAACATATCATTCCACCTAAATCTGCATTCTGGACCACTGTGCAATGTCATGAATGCAATCTTGAATAACTCTACCATTAAAATTATCTACTCAAGCTGACTTTTCTCATTAAAGCAAATAACTTTAAGTTTATTTGATGAAATTTTCATTTTCATTTTCATTTTGCAGCGTTTGGTGAGACAATGGGAGCGCAAGTCAATCCAAAGCCGAGGATAAAGGAAGGGTAATGGCTGAATAGTCTATGCGGACCACTTGAACGCCATGGGAAAAGGAAGGGATTGAAGAGGTCGGTTATTGGGGGGTTTTGAGGAAATGACACATAGTACTAGATTTGTGTTGCAAAATGTAAAGAAACCGAAAATCCATCTCCCACTGATTCATCCTTTCACATATATACCAAATTGATATTTTAAAGCAACCATCAAAATAAACAGACAATATATGAATAGGCTAGTTGCCTCCCTAGGCGGACCCCCCGCATCCTAACTCTTTTGTTAATCAACTTAATGTTATTAGGCTGTCTAAATTTTCTTATTTAAGTTCGTTTGATGATTATGATATCTCATTAGTCTAATTTAATAAATAATTGAAATCTAATCCTAATCAATCATAACTCATGCTTTATTAAGTACCTAAACTGCTATATAATCTAAAATTTAACGTGTTTCAAGTAATTTTGACTTTGATCTACATTTATTATAGCTTAGATCGACCCAGGTGACACCTTCAAGTGACTAAAATGCTTCACTTTGAAATTAGTTTCCTAGCTGATTTTTAAATTATATAAGGTATATGCTCCAACTACACTCACACGTTTCCACTATGTCGTTCCACAAAATTACGTATGGATATGTCACAATAGAAGCACGCCACAGTGGAAATCCCGAGCCATAGTTCAAACACTTATCCCAAACCAAAATGAAGCATATATAAGATTAGTTACAATACCATGGTGGTGTTTAATATTGTTCCTTGAGCAATGCTTCAATGAAAACAACAATGAAAGCTTGTCACGCAAATAGAAGGAGCACGGTTGGGCACTTTCTCAAATATTTCAATAGTATAGTTCCCTTGCAAACCCAAATAAATCTATCTGCGTAAAAATAAATAAAATAAGAGTGATTTGCGGCAAAACCCGCCATTATCACACCCAACGTCAGTGCCTATACGTAAGCGTACTACAACGCGGCTTTCAAATAAAGGAGTAACAAGTGTGATACTATCACTTCAGACTAGAACTTTGGTTCTCTTATGCAATGGTTCATCAGAGAGGGGAAGCTCAGTAATCCTCATGGCATGCTCATGACGCCATTCTGTCACGGCATGTGCCAACGATGCCGGACCTAAACCAACCGTCTCCAACGCACCACTATGAAGCATAAGATTAGGCCCGCCCACCAACGTCCAGGTTAAAAACTAGCCAAGGGGAGGGAAGTTCATTTGATGAAATTGGGTGAAAATCTTCAAATCTACTATTAACCAACTTTTTTATTTCGTCAGGTCCTTCGATCAAATCAATGGATTGATTAATCAAGCATAGTCGACACAATAATCATTAAATTTTGATGCAATTAATTGTTCAGACTGTTATAATGTACCATTTTAAGTACAATACTACCGACGCCAAGGAGGCAGCTCCCACACCTGGACCCTACCTATCGACCCATCAACTAATGGACCGGGTACCAACGACGGCTTTACACCGACAAGCATTGAACACAGGCCCTTTGTGGTGAGAGACAATCGCACTTACCACTACGCCACCGGCGCCACTACATGAATCCCACTTACGCTTATTACGCGCGTTTGTGTACCTATTAAAATGATTAACACTATTTGTGCTACAAAACTTTTTGTACCATGTGTACCTTTAATGTTAAGACGCAAAAGATCAAAATTGTACCAGCTGTTCGAGTTTTTCAAATAAACCAACGTTTGCTCAACTAATTGATTGGTCCTACACGTTTTAAAAGCGTTAGTTAGAACAGCTTTAGATTAATCTAAATTACCGGCCGGGAATGGAAAATCCACGCTTCTCGCAACAAGATACGAAACAGCCTGTTTCCAATATTTCCTCCAGCACTTTGATTCTACAAAATCATCGTTATATTTGATATTATCTAATAGATTAATCACTAAGGTCTCATGATCGTTTTTTTTTTCTTCAAATCAGTATCCGTTACAGAACAAATATAAACAACATTGAATCAAAATTGTCAGATTAAAGGGATAATTCGGTATTATTATTCGTACGTACCCCGTAACGTTTTCCAATAGTTCTTCGTTATTGCCACTTTTTGTGATTTTCTCTTTGCCCTGGGTTGAACTCGTTCCATGTAGCGCATCCAGTTTGCTTTCCAGCAATTGAATTGAATTCCATATTTGTTCGGTCATTTCATCGAAACTATTCAAACTGTTCTGTGGCTGCTCGCCGACAGCAGCGGTGTCCTGTATGGTAAGCTTAGCTACTTGATGTTCAATCATACACTCCAGGCCCTCGATACGCTTACGTAATTCTTCCACAGCCTCTTCGCACACACTACTCGGTTTGAGGGAAATCTCTTGCACGCGTTCTTCCAGGTCGGAAACCATAGACGACATGGCACTCATCTGTGACACGATGCGATCTGGTTCAGGATCTATGGACTTTTGACTAATACCGTCGCATGGGAACATGATGCGTGAACCCGCTATCCTGAGGCGGGCTCCATCGAAATCGCTTCCGTTCGTAATTCGCTGCACGGTGAGCCGTGTTTGACTGCCATCCCGCAGTGCGTCGCTGAGGAGCCTTTGATCAACGATACAACTTGCATTGGATAATTCAATTTCATTAACATCCGTCGTCGTTCCGTCGCGAAGTGCTAGGATGTAGAGAATTTTGTGCAGTAAATGGAAATTGACTGAGCCCGGGTTGGGAGATCCGATGGCCAAATCAATGAGTTTTAATACATTCATGCGGCAGGATGACATGACTGATTCGACTTGGTGTCGAGTGACTATTGGGCAAACTAGCGCTTACTACGATTAATGAAATGTATCTCTTGCTTCGGAAGGGAAGTGACGCTGCCGTTTGTTGGTTGGTTGGTTGGCTGCTCTGTATCTGCTCATGTGTTGATGGATTGGATTTTGTTTTTCTTTATTCGGGACATAAATCCACTGCGACCAGTATTTCTCTGACATCTGACAAGAATTGAAGTTCACATGTCAAGTTTATTGCGGTTAAAAAGATAAATTCGAACGGGGCTGCGGTTGTTTCGACTATAGATACTATAGATTCATAGATAAGCGGAGGCACACAAAGTTGTTTTGGCAACCATGAAAAATAAATGATCTTACTGGCATCCGTGAAAAAAGTTCATGCCATCATAGAGCTCTTCGTTGTGCAGTTTTGTTTTGTTTCGTGCGTAAAAGTTCAAAATGAATTACAAAGCAAATCTTTGCAACAATGTACACGAAACGAAAATCAATTATTTTATTCATGTGTAACACTTATACATTTTTGCCAAAACAACAGCCTAATACATTCCACAAGACAAACCACATAGGTTCTATAAGAATGCATAAAAGGTATGTGTGAACGCTTATACATTTCATTTGACACATGATCTTCATTAACTTTTTGCAAGGCGTCTGCTTAATAGTTGACTTATACATTTTATGAATAATCAGCAATAGAAATTTGCCAAAAGGTATAAGGAGATTTCTATCCGTGTATCGAGGAATGGTTTGCTTTATCTTCCTTTCTTGCGTTGTCCGCGAAATAAATCGGAATGTGGAGTGTGGAAAGCGTTTTGTGCTCATAATATTACAATACTTCTCCCTCAAATAACACCATGATGACTTCATGCTCGTTTGGCTACACTAACTGACAGTTCGTTTGGCTACATTATACTTTTCCTCCGCTTATCTATGGAATCTATAGTATCTATAGTTTCGACTACCGAATTTGACCGTACTGGATTGCACTGAAAAAAAACTTAGTTTTTATTTAAAGTTTGAATTTGAAATGATAAATTCTAAATAAATTAATATTTTGATGTTAGGTGTAAAAATGTAGGTATGTACTTTGATATTACATTCTATACTTTTAAAAGATTAACATTGAAGGCCATCGTTCGGACATTTTGAGCCGTTTGTCTGTGATTAGGGTGGTTTTCCAGGAAATGTCATGAAAATCTGGTGAAGGAAAGTGAATATCTGGAGAAAAAAATTCGTGCTATTGTACCCAAGGATTTCTTTTTCCAGGAAAGTGGCATTTCCTCCGATAAAGAATATGCACGTGGGGTGTTTGATACTACTGGCTATTTCTCCCATCATTGTATGTGCGCAATCTTGCACCTACACACTTAATTTAGCTCGGTAAAATCTCCAACAGCCGATTACCTCGGCATTTACTTTTGCTGATATCTCTGCAAAATATCTGTTTGTTAGCTGATATTTCAGCAAATAGTTATTTGTTAGCTGAGTCTCGGCAATTGTTTTACTGAATCTCAGCAAAATAAATTGCAGAACTGCTCGGCTGTTGGAATCTCGGCAAAAAATTTTAAGTGTGTATGTTTTCTCGGGAATTTATGAAAGTCTTGATGGTTAGAAAGAACCGGAACAGCAAAGTTTAAAAGTAGAATGGATTTTATTTAACGACTAGCTTGAGTGGAGTCTTGAACAGGAATGAAAAGTTTTTCACTGTTGTTTATTTAAGAAAACTTAGGTTGCTAGGGGTGACGTTCGGTCTCCAAGGAGGTGATCAGCACACTGCGTTACCGATTTACTCCAACACCCCCCCTGAATCGGTCAGTCCTAGGAGGGTCCTCAGTTCGCGGAAACGTCCAGGTTCCAGGGGCTTGGTGAACGTGTCCGCTATTTGGTTTGCTGTATCAATTGCTTCGATTTGAAGTCTTCCTTGTGCCACATGGTCGCGCAAAAAATGGTGCTTTACATCGATGTGCTTGACACGCTTGCTTTCGGTGTTTGTGGCCATTGCAATGCACCCACGGTTGTCTTCGTACACCTTGAATGCCGTGTCCGGTCGAACTTGCTTCAGGTCTTCAAGGATTCCGTGCAACCACAGCCCTTCGGAGGCCGCGGCACTTAAAGCTGCATACTCGGCTTCACACGACGACAGTGCAACGGTTTGTTGCTTGCGGCTTGCCCAAGACACGGTGTTCCCAAAAACCTTAAAGACGAAGCCACTAACGGATTTCCTATCCTCAACATCCGATGCCCAGTCAGCGTCTGCGTACCCGACAAGTGCCTCGGCGTCGTCGTTTTGCTTGTACTGGAGCTTCAAGTTCTTCGTTCCCTTCACGTAACGGACCACTCTCTTCAGGGCTTGCCAGTGGGCCTCATCAGGTTGAACTTGGAAGCGCCCTAGGTATCCAACAGCGTAGCATATGTCCGGTCGAACACACAGCATCGTATACATCAGGCTGCCCAGCAATTGACGGTATGGATGCGACACAGGATTCGCAGCTTGTGGTGGCAGGAAACAGCCTTTCTCCATTGGGGTTTTGACATGGTTACAGTCTTGCATGCCGAACTTCGTCAGCACACGGTCCACAGCAGCTTCTTGCGCCAGGTACATGCATCCGGTGGCGCGGTCGTATCGGATCTTCATTCCAAGGAAATGATTAACCACCTGATCTCCTTCACCAGGTCCAGTCGATCGCCAGCAATGAGCAAATCGTCCACGTAGATGATTACGTATACCCCCCCTCGATCGTCGATCCTGGTATATAGACAGTAATCATGCCGGGAACGGGTAAAGCCGAAATCCAGTAGAAGGTCGTTTAGCTTGTTGTTCCAACAGCGGGGGCTTTGCTTGAGACCGTACAGCGATCGATCCAGCTTGCAAACGAAGTTCGGCGGTGCTGCAACTCCTTCGGGTATGGCCATGTAGACGTCTTCTTCAAGCTCACCGTAGAGGAATGCGGTCTTCACATCGAGTTGGTGAACGTGCATCCTTCGGTGGGTTGCTACAGCAAGAACGGTTCGTATCGTGGCTAACTTTGCTACGGGGGAATATGTTTCGTTGTAGTCGACTCCGGGCTTCTGTTGGAATCCCTTCGCCACCAAGCGCGCCTTGTAACGGATCGGTTCGCCATGCTCGTCCGGCTTGATTCGGAAGACCCATTTCGATTTGAGCGGAACCACACCAGCAGGGCATCTCACCAATCGCCAAGCATGGTTGTCCGCTAGCGACTGCAGTTCCTCACGGACCGCTTGCTGCCAAAGAGCTTCGTCGGCTCGTCCAGCGATCTCCTTGTACGCCTCCGGGACATCGAAGATCGAACGCTCGGCCTCATCTCGTCCAACGGAACCGTCAAATAGTACATCGGAAACGTTATGGGGAACATCTGCAGAATGGGATTGCGCGGCAGTGAAAATGTTTCCAACCAGAAATTCTTTCAACTTACCGGGGAGTCTGCGCTCCCGTTCGCTGCGCCTCGGGGTTTCCATTTCGAGGTTTGAACCACGGTCTAGTTGTGAAGGGAGCGCTCCGGTTTCTTCAACACCGTCGTCTTCAACCTCGCCTTCTTCATCATCAGTCAGGATGTCGTCATGTTGAGCCACCAGCGGCTCATCGGGTTGAACGGACTGTTCAGGGGTTTGCACGTCTTCCTCATCTTGATCCTCGAACTCGTACGGAGCAACAACCAAAGGAGTTTCGTCACGGATCTGGGTGGCAAACGGAAAATTGTTTTCATCGAACTTGACATCTCTGGCTAGGAATAACTGCTTCTTCTCTTTGTTCCACAGGCGGTAGGCGTTCGGCGCATAGCCGATCATCACAGCAGGCTTGCTTTTCGGATCCAGTTTCTTCCTCTGTGCCGTGGACACCCAAGCAAATGCTTTACAGCCGAACACACGTAGTTTACTAACGTCCGGCTTGTGACCAGTCCACATTTCCGCAGGAGTCTTCCAATCAGATACCGCGGTGGTTGGACTTCTGTTCGTCAGGTATACCGCCGCTAGAACCGCTTCATTCCATAGATTCTTCGGAGTTTGGGCTTCAATCAGCATCGCACGCACCTTTTCGACGATTGTCCGATTGAACCGTTCGGACACTCCATTCTGCTGTGGTGTGTACGCTGCGGTTGGCTCGACTTGGATCCCCTTGGAAACGTACCAATCACGCTGGTCATTGGAGCAATACTCGCGCCCTTGGTCGACAGTCAGCTTCGAAATCGAATGTCCCAGAGCGGCACTCGCCATGGACTCGTACTCTTGAAACTTCTGGAACACCTCGGACTTCTTCTTGATGGGATATACTACTGCAAAGTGCGTGTAATCATCAATAAAGGTGACGAAGTACCGAGAATCATCCCAAGCCGCTGGTGTAATTGGACCGCACACATCGGAGTGCACTCGTTCTAGAGGTCTTGTAGCACGGACTCTAGTACCCGTGAATGGTTCTCGGCACTGCTTTCCGAGAACACAAACATCACAAAAATCCAATTTATCTGGTTTCTCGGGAATACCTGTTACCATGCCATGCTTCGCGAGTGTCTGCAAACTCTTGCTCCCCAAATGAGCCAGTCGACGATGCCACAGGTTACCAGTCACAGCTCCACACATGTTGGCCGCCACCGTATCGACACGGAGATCGAGCTCGTAAAAATCGCCCCGCATGGGACATCTCGCAATCAGGTCACGACCTTGCTTCATGATCGCTTCCTTTTTCGTGAATGTGACATCAAGATCCGCTTTTGCCATCTTCTTCACAGATAGCAAGTTCGCTCGAAGATCTGGTACGAAGAGGACGTTCTTCAAGCTGATATAGTTACCTTCCTTGTTGACGCCGTTGATCGTGCCACTGTGCCGGGAAATCAGGGATTGATCATCCTTCGCCACGTTTATGACGACAGGGTGCTTCAGCTTCGTGAGGTCGGCGAAACAGTGCTTCACATTCACAAGGTGGTCCGAGGCTCCGGAATCCAGCTTAAAGGAAACTGCTCCCTCGTCCTTTGTTTGGGAGCATCTCCCGGT